TGTGTGTGTGTGTGTGTCGCACATATGGCTTTTACTGCGATTTTCTGCATAATTGCACAAAAAAGTCTGTTAGGGGAGGAGAAAAGTATTAATTTCAATATCAAGATATGGCAAAACAAAAGGTTTAATTTTTCTGAAAACCTTCACGTGTTTGAGAAAAGTAGGAATTATGAGATTTATTTCTGATAAAACAGTTCAGAGATGAAAGTTAGAGCTCTGAGAATGAGTAAAAAAAAGTCAAGAATTTTCATAGAAGTCTTTATTAAGAAATTATATCCAGAGATTATGAGATTTGAGACAACATTTTAGATTAAAGTCTTTAGTTTTTGGATGAAATCAGAATATAATTCTTATTTAGTGGCTTTAATGATACAGTACATATTCAGTTGCACTGCGAGGTTAACGCCACCAGAGGGCATCTTTCCTCTTTTACCATGCATACTGTGACAGCTTCAGTGTGCACATTATTGATGTTAGATCAAAAATATGGATTATAATGTACTAATTATTAATACAACTTTGAGAATTAAATGATCAATGTTATTTTAGGTTAATATACCAGATATAGGCACACACACAATAATGGAATGAGCGTAGGTGATTGTAGGTAACTTCTTGTTGCCAAATGAAAATTCATACAGATAATTGGGTCATTGAGAGAATATAACAGATCATACATGAGTGTGACACTTTATGCTCAAAATTAATAATTAAAACTTAAAGAGGCCACACCTTGAATTAAGACATTATTTAGGATATTTCAAATTTGACACCGGTCTCTTCAAACTGGCCCTTGTTGTCAGTGTAACGGCTCAGGATATAATTTATTAAACAATTTATATTCTTACAGAGCCTGTAAGTTAAGAGTGATAAGGGAGCTAATAAAATCACACAAACACTGTATTTGCTTGCATTTCTTGAAATCCTTTATTCAACACATCAAAATGGTAAAATATTAGACTCTTGTACAGACAATAATTTAAATAAATACCATGATTAATTATCATTAAACAAATGCAACAAGCAGTATCATCAAAGAAAGACCTAAGGCTTCTTGACTTTTTCTGGAGTATTTTTATATTTTTCTATCGATTACAGGGGAGGTTACGTTTAAATAAATGCATTAATAAGTAAATAAGCAAACAGCTAACAGTTGAAGATTATTTTCATTTGGCATCATCACAGTCGTCAGTGAAAACGTTTCATGGTACAATCATTTCTGCAAAGTGCTTTGTGACAATATGCCTCACAAAAAGGGTTGTAATGTTTTTATTCTTTATTCAGATTTTGATGCCTACAGGTTTTTTTTTTTACGGAGGAGCAGTTTTTAAAAACCTGACGGCATCACCAACGTCATCATCCGAAATAAATCTCTATGGCACTACATCAGGATGCTTGACGTGGTCTTCAGTAAATATCATGGTGACATATTTGAACTTTACATTGCACTGAATAACGGTTTATTTTAAATACCATGTTGTAAATAATACAAATCCAGTTTAGACAGCACAATGCAAATTAAATGTTTCAATTCACCCAACTGGTGTGACAAGTACTGCGATATTTCACCAAAAAAATTAACTCATGGAGAGAACGAGAAGAATTTTGAGCCTCTGTATACTCAGAGGTTTGCTGGGTACAGTAGTAAGGCAGTCAGCACAGCCGATAACATTTTAAAAATCGTCGTGGTGAAAAACGTTGCTACAAGAGTGAGTTTCAATCCATTGTCTTGAAGGTTTGTTGTCGTTATCACAGTGTGCATTGTTCCAACTTCCAGCATCCTTCCCAATTATAAAGTCTGCCTCTGCTCGTACGCGATACCTTCAGGGTCCATATTGTTTAAAGCAAGCCGTCTTGTTCGAAAACGGAGGGCAGGAGGGAGAAGTCGAAGGGCAAAAACTTGATGCCGGTCCCGTGGTAGAATTTGTTCTGAAACTCCACCCTGAAATCAAACGTTCAACCAATCAAGAGCACTTTAATGAAGTCAGAACAAACAATGAGGACGGCTGTGAATGCAGACAATGAACTCAGTGTCTCAGTCTCAATAATCTTCTTACTATATTTTAAAGATTCGTTATTGAAGCTCTCATTCAACACTTAAAAACAACATTTGGTCTATTCAGTTCTTTTTTAACTTAATTTAACTGCTGCTGTTCAGAGTAGGAAAACATGATTATGATTAGGGCTGAAACGATAAGTCGATCAAAAGTAAACTATCAATCGTTTTAGTTATTTTTTAAAGCAACAATGCCCCACATCCTCTTCTCCCAGCCTGTCAGATATGAATATTTGCTGGTTTTCTTTTTCTTCTCTACTAATAAATTGACGGTCTTGAATTTTAATACATCATCTTTACTGACATCTTTTAGACCAAATGATTAATCAGTTAATTAGGAAAATAATCAGCTAATAGCAATAATTACAATTACAATACGATGTCTAGTCTCATATATCACAGTACAATGAGACCCACCAGTGAAGTCGGAGAGCATGGAGGAACGCTGATAAGCCTTCCATGACTAGCAGGATGGACACGGTGAGCATGGCGAAGAGGCCGAACACGGGGACCAAAAACACCACCCCAACTCTCGTAGTGATCCTCAGACCCAGGCGCATCACCATGGTCCACAACACCTCTGAAAGCTCTAAAAACCAATTAAAACAAAACACATAAAGATGCACAACATACAATGACACAAAACTTAGCTAATGTGTAATTTAGAAATGCAGAGTATAGAAGTCAATAGAGACAGACAGCTCAAGGCGAACTACTTATTGTGACTGCACTTACGGGCATGAGCCAAGCTGAGCGCCCAGAGACGCAGGTATGATGCAGTGTTGGAGATGCAGCCCAGGCAGTACTCTATGGTGTGAATGGCCTGGTACAGGAGCACGTCTGCGAAGTCAAACTACAAAAGAGTTCAAATAATATAGAAGATATCACATTTAATTCATACATATCGAGATGAAGTTAATACAGCATATGTTATTCCTGTAGAATTTACAACCCAAAGTGCTGGTGTTCACATAATAATAAATTATCTCCACAACTGATTATTTTCTGTGACCCTACCCTCTTTCATTTATTTCTTTGCAGCACATATTAATCATTATGTCTCCAAATGAGCCAGTGTTGGCTAGTTGTCTAACTTTCAATTGCACTCCTTTGGCAACATGATCTCAAACCAGTGATGTGACAGGTTAACAAATACAAACGTTAGACATTAAGACACTGAAATGAAAACAAAATCAGCACATACAAGACAGAGCACAAACCATGAAGAGCAACAGGTTGAAGCAAGACACTGATGCAACAAGACAATGATTACATCCACAATTCAGTACATGTTGAAAAACGTTTGTATCTTCAAATGTCTGAAATACCGTTCACAAGACAATTTCAGGCAAAGAGGATAATTTCCATAAGCATACACTGGACCACACACACAGACAGTTGGTGTGAAATGTAAAGTCATTTAGCTTGAAAATAAAGCATTTAACATAAAAAGGTGAGATACTGGTGGATCTCTGACCTCTTTGGGAAGAGCTTCTCTGCTGGGCATTTCATCAAGTCCCTCCTCTTCATCCTCTTCATAGGACGGTGTTGTGGAATTGTCATCCTCACTTACACGCCTCACTCTCTCATAACCCTGAGGTGACACAACACTATTGATTTTCACAAGCATTGACAGATAAACCGAAAACTACTTAGATTTTTTTAAATATATTTGATCACACATACTCTGCGTCTGCGCAGGCCTTTCCCTCCGCGGTACAGCCAATACAAGTAAAGAGGTTTTCCTAACAGCAGCACTGGAACGGACAGCATAGCTATCACAACTAAGAAAATCTGCAGCCCAGTCTGTGGAATCAAGATAACGAATGTTAACGAGGATCAAAATACATCCAGAGCTTATAATGTCTCAGATGAGGCCCTACCTGCCCCGGGTAGAGAGGAGTGATATCCTTCCCCTGCATAACGAACATGTTAATAAAGTGAATGAGGATGCTGGGAGCCTGGCTGGAGTCTCGTACACCGTATGCCAACCACTTGTAGAAAATCATGAAGACCAGGTAGCCAAAGAGACAGAGCAGGAAGAGCAGCTCAGGAAGAAATAGCAGATAGACATTAAATTTCTGTCGGAAGTGCCTGAAGGGAGAGAACAAAGTATGGGAATAAAGAAAGTAATAAGGTTGTGATTTTATTCATTGACCCCTAAATTCTCATCAAAACAATATGCATAGTTTATGAGCAATAACACATGAATAGAAGTTCTAGGTGTGATATTTGCACAGGCACGAGACCCCAGGCTGAGTATCACATGGTATAGCATTGTCCCACAGTTTCATTAGTGACATTTATGATTAGCCTCTAAAGCAGAACAGCTTTTTACAGGTTTCTTTTTAATTTCTTTTTCATTTCCTGGAAAGTTTCTTGGAAATAACTATATAATTTGATACTTAATATACTGAAAATAGTGTACAAGTACCCGCTCATTGATTTTCAAAGGAGTTTCCTTCAAATAAATCCTAAAATACTAATTATTTACAAAAATCCCTTTAAAGTCAAGTGAAAATGAACTATTATTATGCTTGACTGTCATTTACAGCAAAAAAAAGAGAGCAGCTGTGCATCAACACTTAAATTGCACCTATTGATGCCTGACACTGATGGATCCCCCTGCTATAACAACATGAACAAAACAGATATAAGACTACTGCCGTGGACTTATATCTCGAGTCACTCACAAGTGATTGAAGACACTCAGCACCACTCCAAAGCTCATGTGGATGACCCCAATAACAACTGACATCTTCATCTTGTAGGAGTTGAGGAAGGACAGCCGGTTCACAGCCATGTTCCATATCTGATGGAATATTAAAAACATCTCAGCGGAAATGAATCCAGTTCAATTCTGACTGTAAAAGTCTGAGTGCATTTACTCACAGGATCAATACCAAATGGGTACGGTCCACTGAAGACACCACTGACATTAGGGTCTAACGTGAGCACAGCATTTGTTTGGAGGGTTTTGTTTCTGCAATGTAAAAAAAAACATATGTATCAATTAGAAAAACATCCGTTACACTAATTAGCACTGACATACAAAAAGCATGTGTAATTTATTCCTAACTCACGTCCACTGCTGATTTGTGAACATAGCCTTGACGCTCCAGCCAGAACCAAATATGTTGAGAGACTTGGAGAAACAGTCGTTGTAAATCAGCCCGGTGTAAATAGAGAAAAGCCCCATCATCAGGATAATGTAACGTCCATTGAAGAACATCGTCCATATCTGAGACCAACAGAGACACAGCTATCAGCTAAAACTAATTTACAATTATCAGACTCTGCATTATGGATGAGAGGGAGCCACTCGTTCGTACCTCATTACTGGATCGTTTCTTCTTCTGCTTTTTTTCTGTCAGCACCATCCACAAGGCAAAGAGACTCATTACCAACCCGTGCCCGAGGTCGCCAAACATCACAGCAAACAGAAAGGGGAATGTGATGATGGTGTACGGAGCTGCCAATGAGAGAAATATATTTAATGCACTTAGTAGGCACCTCTCCAAGGCTGCACTTAAAAAATAGGCTCCTTATTATTTGCAAGACACGGTGTGAGTTCTTACCTGGGCTTACCTCGCGATAGTCCCCCACCCCATAAGCCTCCACAATGCTCTGAAAGCCAGACGTGAACTTGTTGGTTCTTAACAAGGTAGGTGGAGTGTCAGTACTGGGGATGCGATTCACAAAGGATGGCACGGTGGCGTCACCTTTTCTCTGTTAAAAATAAAAGACAACAATGTAAAAATGGATGAAAATCAGTACTATTATTCTATTACACTGTCAACGTGCTTTTGAAATGCCCAAACATTCACAGAAAAAGACATATTGAGGCTTTCCCTTTGTTCACGTCTTGGCTCATGTCAAATAGTCACATTCAAATACAGCTTTAAGCAGAAGGAATTGCTGGCATATTCTGTGTGCTCAATAAGAAAATGCTAACTACAGCAACAAATTGTACAGCCAATAATGCAAAAAGAGGACAGGAAGTCATCCAAAATGACTGCTGCCAGGATGGTAGGGAACAAATTAAAAATACATTTTGGTGATACAATTTGAGTACTTAACAGTTAATAAGCAATGCAAATCAATTAAGAGGCCAAATATAATATCTATAACATAATAGACCCGAAACCCTCTTTTCTCCATAAGGCTATGAAAATAGTTAACAGTATTTTGGCTTCTACTTTTGGCTTACTGAAGCCTTGTGTTTAGAGAAGCTGATTTAGTGCGTCAAATCAAATGTAAGTACGTAAGTAATCTTCATTTCTGTATTTCTTTCAGAACCA